ACTGAGGGTTGCGACCCGTTGCCGGACACGGAAAAAAGACAAAAAGACAAAAAAAAAAAAATGACATCCTGCCTCCAGAACTCAGCCGGGCCAACAGTTTAGAGGCATCAAAGCTTACACTTGCTGAGTGAGGCCAGGGCACACTTGCTACCTTACTCTGGATTCTTCTGGAAAGATTAAAAGGCTTGGAAAGAATGAACTATTGCTACACACAACAACGTGGATAAACCTCAAAATCATGAGCATGAGTGAAAGAAGCCAGACCTTCAAAAAAGCACATACTGTGTGATTCTATCTACATAAAATTTTGGACAATGCAAACTAATTTACAGTGACAGAAAGCAGATGAATGGTTCACTGGCACAGGGTGGAGGGGATTAGGAGTGGGGATCACAAAGAGGCACAAGACAACTTTTGGGGTGATGAATGTTTATTATCTTGATTGTGAAATTGTATGCTCTAAATGTGTGCAGTTTATTGGACATCTAAGTGTATATGTGAATGTGTGACTGGCACAGGGTGGAGGGGATTAGGAGTGGGGATCACAAAGAGGCACAAGACAACTTTTGGGGTGATGAATGTTTATTATCTTGATTGCGAAATTGTATGCTCTAAATGTGTGCAGTTTATTGGACATCTAAGTGTATATGTGAATGTGTGTGTGGATGTATTTACAGTTGTGTGAAACCAGGCAAGTAGTAGGCAAGAGACAGAGAACATGAAGAAGATAATACAAGAAAGTGCTGTAGACAAGACCGAGAAATTATCAAAGGATTCAGTGAAAACCACAGGACAGCCCAGAAGGAGGGTTTAAGTTGGTTGGACTGAGCAGTGCTTCTCAAACCTTAATGTGTGCATAAACCCCCTGGGGATCTTGTTAACGTGTAGATTCTGACTCAGTAGGTCTGAGATGTGGCCTGAGACTGCATTTCTCAGAAGCTTTCAGGACCAGACCAGATGCTGCTGGTCTTCCAACTTTCCTTTGAGGAGCAAAGGGCCAGAGCACTTATTCCCAACTTTGGTTGCATATCAGAATCACTGAGGAGCTCAAGAAAAAACCAAAATGAAAATCCTGATGCCTGAATCTCTTAACCTCAGAGATTCTGATTTAGTCGATCCATAGTTCTGTCCAAGCATCAGGAATTTTTAAATCTCCCCAGATGATTCTAACATGCAGCCAAGGTTGTGAACCACTACTATACAGAGAATAATAATAACCTGATCAGAGAATGAGAACAGAACCAAAAGGTAATAGAGGCAGTGGATACGTGAGCCAGAGAAATGTAACAAACCATATCCCCAATCACAACCAAGACGCACACTGTTGCAAACACTCAAATTTACCTGAGAGTAATTACACCTCTTTGGTCCTGCCTGTGCTAAAGATGCCCTGGTGTGATGCCTTGGGAACGAGCAAACCAGACTGATTACTAAGTAGGAGGGTGGGCAGCGTGGCCCTCCTGAGATTATAGCCAGAGGTGGGGAAGAGTCCCTGCAATGGAGGAAGAAGACCAGGGAAGCGGGTCGGGCATGCACACCAACCAACACATCCATAAGTACTTTTCATTAAAATGAGACAATGAGCAGCCTCCCTCCTCCTGTCAGCGATGGGCACAAACCAGACATGACAAACGATGCTGCTGTCTTCTAATGTGTCCCAGATTTGTTTTAGAAATCATTTTCAATTCAGCTGCTTTTCTATTAGCTTTAAAAGGTTGGAAATTATTTTTTGATCTGTGTTACAGATTTTCATCTGCATCGTAGAATTCTGATTCTGAAACTACTGATGTACTGGAATTATAAGATGTTTAATGAGACATGTCAATTTAATTGTGCTGCTTGGAACTTTAAGAGCCAGAGTTTGTCAGCTCTTTGCTGACAAATGTCGTCATTTGCACACTGATCTTTGGTGCTGAAGATGTTCACCATTGCTAAAAATGTTGGGAAATGAGCTGTGCTCCGTGAAACAAATGACATTTTTTTTCATTTGTTGATGAAATTTAAGTTTAGGGGACAAAATAAACTTTCAAGTATTTGAAAACAGTCTGGTTTGGTCATGGTCATTATGTTTAAATCCTAATGCAGAAGATGCTGTGTATCTGCACAATGAGAGAGAAAGAGAAGAGTATGTCCTGAATGACATCGGGGTAATTTTTTTTGGAGACTTCAGTGACATCAAGAGCAGAAGCTGGAGCTATGGTCAGGTGAGCCATTTAAAATTTGTCATTGTCAAGGACGTTCTTACTTACTTTTTTTGTCACATGTATCACTGCAGGGTGTCATATGTCAATATTAGACAAGTACAATTTCCTGCTTTCCAGGATCTGAGACTCCAAGACAGGGAGCATAAGAGTGGAAGCTTATAAAGAAAACTGCATAATTTATCAGCCTAAACCATGTATCTTCAGTTATTACAATGTTACAGAGACCAGAGACTCTGTGGCTAATGTATCATCCTATTGAGAAATGCTTTGGCTTCTTGGTGCAGTGAAATCTCATTAGGTCAACATGAAATGGTCTGAAGTTTTCCTTTTTTTATTAAGAAAGGCATTTTGATAATGAAGCAAAGAATACTGCAGGGTGTGTGCCCAACTCAAAGAAATAACCTTTATTCATAACAACAACAACAAAAGTGTTAGTCTAGGGTACTGCTAATTAGAAAAGAGTGTTACCATTTTGCCAAAGGTGAGCCCCCTGGACTTTAACCTAGAAGCATTTTATCAGCCACAACCTCAAGTCACTGCCTAGATATAAAGTAGCAAATGGTATTTTTTAAGATATTCAATAATTCTAATGATTTCAGTTTGATGTTGTCAAGCAGGAATCTCAGATCCTTCTGCCCCTTCTTGTGCAGGTCATGAGTCAGGTATTGAAAGAAGATTCTGGCAGCTTTATGCAAGGTAGACAAACTTTATTCTTTAGATATGAACTTTACAGACATGCTTTATTCCTCCAAGACAAGCTCAGGCTCTACGCCTCCATGACCCTCCATGCTCTGCCAACCAGTAGTTAACAGCAGTTACCTTTAGACTCATAGTACACAACAGCAGCCACAAGCCAAGCATTACATAATTACAACAATCATGCTGAATCAGTAAATGAGCACACGTGTGCAGTTACACTACTTTATTATAAATTGTTTCTAATGAACATGCTGAGCCTTGCCTATTTGTAACAGATATGAGGCAAGTGAGCCTGACTAAGCTGTTCTTTATTTTACACTGGTTTTACTTCCTTACAAATGTCTTTAACAATGGAGCAAATGAATGATATTTTACCATCTTTTCATAAATGAATGCATGTCCTATTGATTAAAATATGATTTTTAATTAGCAACATAAGAGGAAGTGCATTTTTCAGAGTTTGGCTGGGACGACTGGAATTGTGCATCATTGTTCTGGGCATCCAGGGAGAGATTTCATGGAATCTGGCCACGCCAAGTCACATGATACTTTTTTGGCTCCTGATGCTTAGCTTGGACTTCTGTGAGGGACCTCCGTGTGTCTGTCTACCCACTGCTCCAGCCTGACCATTGGTGTCTTGCCATCACAAGCTCTTATCTTGCCTCCCTGGCTTTGTGTCCAGCTCTGCACCCTGATTCCTGAGAATTACATGCCACCTGCCTTTCTGATGTCCTGCTGAGCTGTGATCTATGTTTGCTTGCCCTGTTTTTGGATTCCTGCCTGGATCCCTGGTTACAAGCCCTTCCATTCCTCAGTGACATACAACCTTTGACTACCACTGGTTGTTCGGTGTCTTTGCCTTGAGTCCCTAATTCCCAGCCTTTAGGTGTGATTCTATTTATGGCCCCAATATGACAATCTATACATAGCTAATATAATAAGAAAAAAAGTCAGCAAGGAGAACTGGGAGGGTGTCCCAAGCACAGTCAGGGTCTCCTTGGCCAGCATGCCTTTGTGGGGGCACCCTTAGCACCGGCACTGTCTGTATCTACCATCATTCAAAGAGGCCACTGACTTGGGTCCTTCAGCCAAAATAACCAGCCAAGGCAGTTTTTGCAGCAATGCAATGAAATGATTAGTTCCATGACTACTTCCTTAACTCTCTAGTTGGTTGCTACTATGTCCCACAAACACAGCTGAGAGAAGAGCTAGCATAATTACCTATCACGTTTCCATCCCATCAGGTTGAGGCACACCCAGAGTTGGTATTCTGACTGGATTTAGTAAAGACTTACATGGTAATTAGCCATTAAGATAGTGGTTTCTGTCACAAGTAGTTGGACAGGTGACATGCAAGGTTTCTGTATTCAAGGAACCCTCCTATTCCAGTGAGCCACAATATAGGAAAAGTCTCCCTGTCTTGCCATTTGTTACTATTTGATCTTTATACCTTTTTTTTTTTTTTTTGTCTTTTCTTGTGACCGGTAAGGGGATCGCAACCCTTGGCTTGGTGTCGCCCACACCACGCTCAGCCAGTGAGCGCACCGGCCATTCCTATATAGGATCCGAACCTGCGGCGGGAGCGCTGCTGTGCTCCCAAGCGCCGCACTCACCCAAGTGCGCCACGGGGCCGGCCCAGATCTTTATACCTTTTTAAGGAAATTCTGGTATTGCCCACAGCAGATTTTTTTTTAAGGAAGTTGAACTAGTACCAGGTTCTTTCCTTGATAGTATAATTTACTTTCTCCAGGCCTTTCTGCCCTGTCTTGGATGCTGGGCTCCACCTTTTTCTCAGAAGAAGGGAAACCTTAGAGGGACATTCACTACATGAGGTCTCCCATATCAGGTGTAAGCTAACCTGTGATATACCTTTATGTTCAAGATGCATGAGAACTCGTGTTACTTTTTTTTTTTCCCCCGAGTTTATTTATTTATTTATTTATTTTTATTTGGGACTCATGTTACTTTCAAGGGCTCAAAACTGTGGCCTGACTTTAGTAAATCTTTCATTCTTTCGCCTTAGGCTCTGGAGCCAATGTGTTGGAGAGATCTTCTAAATTAACTTATTCCATTTTCTGAAGAATTTGCAGTCAGTTCATGGTCCCCAAGTCCATCAGCTCTCCAGTTGTTCCATTTTTATTTCTGGTTTGCTTTTATGTTCTTTTTTTTTTTTTTTTTGACTGGTAAGGGGATTGCAACCCTCGGCGCAGTGTTGTCCACATCACGCTCAGCCAGTGAGCGCACCGACCATCCCTATATGGGATCCAAACCCGCGGCCTCAGCGCTGCCAGCACTGCACTCTCCCGAGTGAGCCAAGGGGTCGGCCCTGCTTTTATGTTCTTATTCACTTTACTGAAAATAAAAGAGGATATCTCTTTCCTTCTACTTTAATATTTCACACTAAAGATTATGGGACATAACTATATAGGAAATACACATTTCTAAATATTAGGTTGTGATTTCATTTTATTTTTTTCATCAGAGAATGCCTTGCTTGCAGAGTGGGCATTAAGCAGTTTCTCATTTTTGTTCCTAAATAGTTTGAAGATGGCATCCTTGACGCTTGCCTGTATGTGATGGACAAGGCAGAAATGGACCTTTCTGGTAGAGGGAACCCCATCAAAGTCAGCCGTGTTGCATCTGCGATGGTAAGCAACAACTGCTGATTACTAAAACCTGTTACACCTGTCATTTGTCTTGGTATAGATGCCAGTTCATTGGGAGCTGTTGAAATGATGAGTTACACTTAATAAACTTTTATTTGTAAGATTCTGGCTTATGACACCAGCATGTTCTTGGGATTTCCTGAGCTTGTCTTATGCTGTAAAACAAAATTCTTATCTCAAAGCTATATGTTTCTTTGGCTTCAGACAAATAGTAATAGAGAGTAGGATGCCATAGATCAGTTATTCTTAAGACCTTCTTGCCTAGGGACTGAGGAATGACCATGACAAAAATGGCAATGACTATAATCAAACAATCAATCAATCAAACACCAAGGAGCACGGAATAGTAAGTATAAAGAAATATGTGACTCTAATGCTAGCTTCTAGTACAATGATACCTCACCATAGGGTTTTGTCACTCATGAAGTAGCTGTTGATTCTTTGCAGTAATCATGTGAGGTATGTGGGGTGGCATTACTCATACCAATTTATGACTTAGGAAACCGGGTGACAACAGTTTGTCAGTGACAAAGCCTCAGCTAGAACCCAGGTGTCCTGACTCCAAATCTAGACATTTTCTACCTTCCATACCACTCTCTGTAGTACCTCTTTGACAATGCAGAGATCCTGCAATGGAACAGCCTGCTGGGAGAGGAGATAGAACTCCCATGAGTAGGAAGGTCAGGGTCAGCATGGGAAGTGGACTAATGGAATGTCCAGGTTTTGTGCAGTCCTGGACTATACTTCTATACCCAACACGTAGAGCTAGTTTTTGGTTCAGAAAAATATATCAAATCTGGCACAGGATGAGAATATTTCTGAAAAAATGTTAAGCAGGGTGGTATTTCACACAAAGACCAAGAAAAAAAAATTCTTATGTTAACCAATTTCCTTAAGTTTTCTAAAAAACAAAAAAAAAATCTCTCTTTGGATGAATTTTGTCTTTGAGTTTGGTTTGTGTATTCTTTTGAGCTAAATAAAATCAATATTGTTAATATAAAAATATTAGACTGATAATGACATAAGGTATAATTTCTGGTTAGCTTTTAAGAAGGGTTGTTATTAATAACTAAGCTACATGCAAATTTATGAAACAGTGTAGCTTAAAAAGTAAAGGAAGCTATACCTCCAGATTTGACGATGGTGGTTCATCTTGCAATCTCAGTTCTCTGATGAGTCTAAGTTTAAGTCTGGTCAGTTTTTTCTTGTAAGGACAGGAATGATGACTTCTAATCTCTTTACATGTTAAGGCTGAAACTATAAGTCTCTCATGATTATCATTATTATTTATGTTTTATTTTTGACTGACAATTATTGTATATATTTATGGGATATGGCGTGATGTTTTTATATATGTATGGATTGTGAGATGATTAAATAATGCTGATAAACATATCCATCACCTCAACAAAAAAGAAGTGAAGATAGAAAGTAACATCTAAAGGCAGTTTTGTTTTGTTAGTTGACATTGCATAATGAAAAGACAATGAATTCTAAGGAACTTGGGATTCTCTTTGTGATAACCATTTATAACAACATATGTTAGACCTGCTGTTGATCACTATTTTTCATCATTTGCAGACAAGATTTCCCTTTTTCTTCACCTTTGAAGTTACCATATCGAGTTTGCAGGGGGAACGGGAACAGTAGCCAGCAGTGCTTTTAAATACAGGTTAATTCCTTCTCGAGCATTCTAAAGTACCATGCTCATCGGCCTAAGTTTGCTCACACATTACGTGTGTGTTCACTAATCCAGAAATCACCGATTAACACAAGCCAATGCAAGAGGGAAGCAAACATGGACCAGCTAACCTAATGCCTGTAGTGGCACCTGGCCAGGTAGAAGCTGTGAAGTGTTCAATGAAGCATATAATCCTAGTGCAAATTGCCTTGAAATTTTATTAATCACATAAAGCCTATGAAGTTCTAATTCTGAAAATGTATATCCCAACTACAAGGTTTAGAACTAGACAGGGAGAATCTATTTTGGGAATGGTTTGGTTTGGGTTTGGGTTTATTTTTGGAAGGTGAGGCCTTGGGTGTTAAGGGGCAGAGGTCCTGCCCTGGGCCATTTGGGGCAGTATCTCTATTTCTACCATGCCACTGTTTACACGTACACAATGTTGGGTAGCTTTCAAAGTGTTTTTGCCTTTATTATCTCTTAATAATTAGAATAGCTCTGTGAATTTTTCCAAAATCTCTTCAGTTATAATTATTTTAAAAACTAAAATGTTGAGCCCTCAAAAATTGATAAAAAAAAAGATGACACTTAGAAAAAAAGTCAACTGTTTTTTGGTCACTCAGGCAGTTCCTCTCCTGTTCACAAATTGTGGAAACCTGTCATGAAATTTCTGAAGGCAGTTAAACAAAGAACAAAGGAAAAACCTTTAAATTTCTCAATTAAAGACTTGCCTTAAAATACAAAAATATGTTATTTAGAAAGCCCTGAAAGAAAATGTTTTGAGGTTGCGAGTCTAGCCAGAACCCTGGTTCCCAGGTGGATGGGCCTGTGTGTGTTTTCTCAGGGCTGGGCTCAGGTCTTAGTGGAACAGAGGCTGCTGAGCAGTTGTTGAGGAGTCTCTCTCCAGTGCCTCCCCAGCCTGGCCTTGAGGCTGGGGACTCCTTTCACAGGACACAGATGCTAGAACAGAGATATGTGGGACATGCAAATTCTCCTGGAGGGGCGAGGCATTGATTTCAATTCATGCCCAGACAAGAGTGGCATGGACAGAGCTTTCCCGAGAGCAAGTGCTGCCAGGAAAGAGAGGAGACGAGCAACCCAGGCCTCCCTGGCTGCCTGAAGAAGGTGGAGTTGAGTGGGGACAAGACACAGGAACACAGGACTAGAGCCCCGAAGACAAATTTGCTTACTGTGGTCATGGCCAAGGCTAGCACTAAAAGTCGGCAAGGAGTTTGCAGGGAGCAGTTGGGTGCCTGATACTAAACGAGCACAAGTAATAACCCATATTGTGCAAACTTCCTAATGATAATAATAATGTGAATCTGGATTTTAAGTGCACAGTACCTAGATAAAAATATTTATTGTAAAGTGTATGTGATCTCGAATAGTTGTTTGTTGTGGGGGCTGTCCTGTGCATTTCAGGATGTTTAGCAGCATCTACCCAGGAGATATCAGTAGAATTTTCCCCCACCAGTTTTGACAACCACAAATATCTCTCTATATTTCCAAACATCGCCCCTAGTGTGGACCAAAGCAGTAAACCCCTCTGTGGCTCAGTTTCCCTGCCTGTGGAATAGAAATAACAGTCTCTTCTTACGTGCATAGAGGATCTGTCTTATTAATTCATTCAAAACATGCCTGTTTTCATTCCTCTACTGGAGAAAAAGTGGAGGCAGCATCATATGGGAAGAGCCTTGGCCCATATCAGATTGAACCTCGATGCTGGTTCTGCCATTAACTTGCTTTGTGACCCAGGATAAATAAATCACTTACCTCCCTGGGCCTCACATCTTTGTCTTTAAAATGAAATATTGCCTCTACACTCAAACCACATTTGTTACTCCCAGTGGCAGCAAGAATATCCTTTTATTCTTCAAAACAGAGCTCTCCTTTCTTCTATTTTTTTCCTTTGTAAACTCACTGTCTTCCCTGGTCCTTATTTTGAGTTGTTTGTTCCTTCACTTGAGGTGAAAGTAGGAAAAGTTCATGACAATTCAGACAGCCTTGGGCTATTGGACTCTCCCAGGAGAAGGAAAGTCCAAAAATCCTGTAATCTCATTGTTCTAGAGATTGGGCCTGAGATATTATAATCTTACATAAGCTAACTTTTATTTAGGCTCTTCTAAATGCTGAGTGGTGCATTTTGCTAAAGCTGTACTGCAGATGGATTTAAGAGAGAAAAGAAAGAAAAAAGAGGAAATTAGGGAACAGAAGAAACTTGTCCAGTGTTTTCCTTCTTCCTTTAAACTGCATTGCTTGAATGCTGTTTTCTTTCCACATTGTTTCTGATGTGACAGTCCTCACCAGGAAAATGGCCAGGAAGTGTGCCAGAAAAAGTTAAGGAGGATGCTTTGTGCCATCTGAAAACCTGTTTTTCTCACATGGCATTAATAAAGCATTCCATTGCTAGCCCTAAATTGCTGGCAGAAAGCCAGACATGGGCTCTGAGCTCCCAGTCAGGTTATCAAAACAGATGTGTCGTGACATGTTGTGACAACAACAGCATGGGCCTGGGGAAAGGAGAAGACAGTGACGATAGCCTGGCGTTACTGCTGGGAGGTTACCTGTCCAAGCTCATTTCTGCCCCCTGATTGATTGGATCTTGCAGCAACTATGGGCAGAGAGCTTCCCCCGGGAGCTGCAGCTGCTGCCGCAGTGGCTGCTATTACTGCAGATAACTGCTTGCCTAGTCACCATGAAACTCCTCAATACCTCACCTCCGTGCAGATTCATTCGATGGGCTAAGACCAGCTCAGCAGAACTTCTGTGTTGAAAGGTGCACAGAACTAACATGTGCGTGGGCTTCTAGGTGAAGAGGTAAAGGGCCTTGAAAATGATGTCTCTCACTCAAGGTCACACAGCAAGTAAGTGGCTGTGCTGGAATTAGATATTATCCTTACTCTCCGATCATGTTACCTTAGAAGCCCACTACCGGCACATTATTACCATAAGACAACTACTGTAACAAATTGAGTGTCTGTCTCCCAGAAAAGAATAAGGCCCTGAGGCAAAGGAGCCCAGAACAGGTGAATTTTGAAAAAGGGAAATAAGTAAGCAAGGGTATAAACCAGAGAATTATAATTAGCCAGAGGCATTAAGTCCCTGGAAAAAAAAAAATCCAAGAGAGGATTAGGTACCAAATATGGTATGGTGATGGTGGTGATGGTGATGGTGGTGTGATAGTGATGGTGCCAGTGATGATGGTGGTGGAGGTAATGGTGATGGTGATGGAGATGCTGTTGATGATGGTGGAGGTGGTGGTGGTGGTGGTGGTGGTGGTGGTGGTGGTGTTCGTGGTGA